TTTATAAAAGATTTTGCAGCTATTGCTGAACCATTGTTAAAATTAAAAAGGGAAAAGGGCAAGATTCTCGTGGACGGCAGAAGCCAATAGTGCTTTCGAAAAATTAAAGCAAGCATTAACGCAAGCCCCTGTTTTGAAATTTCCTGAAAAGGATGAGAATTTAGAAATTTCAGCGGATGCTTCGGATTATGCGGTAGGAGCGGTACTTTCGCAAAATCAGCAGCCCGTGGCATTTTTTAGTCGAACTTTAAATCAAACACAAAGAAATTATTCCGCGACCGAGAGAGAGGCACTTGCAGTTCTGTTAGCAGTGCAAAAGTTCCGAGTCTATTTTGGAAGGGCGCCAATAACAGTGTATTCTGATCATGCGGCGGTAACTAGATTGTACTCAGGGAAAAACTTATCCCCAAGGTTAATAAGATGGGCACTCAAGCTACAAGAATATAATCTGGTAATCAAGCATACCCCCGGAAAGGAAAATATCGTAGCAGATGCCCTATCCAGAATAAAAATAGATGAAGAAGGTAATACTGTAAAGGTGGCAATGCTCACAGCATGTACAATAAATTCCCGAGAAACTGTAATAACCGAACTGGGTAAGGATCCTGAGTTTGGAAACATTTATGAGTATTTAAAGGATCCTGAAAATTTTAGCCACCAAGATATTGTGGCGATAAGAAATAGGGCGGCCCATTACGAACTAATAGATGGTCTATTATTTTATACAAAAACTACAAATTCCAACAACGAATTTCGACCTGTTATCCCAGCTAGTCTTAGATTAAATATCCTGCAGGAGTTACATGACAGCCCTTTAGCTTCTCATGCTGGTATTCGAAAAACTATCCAACGCGTACGCGAGGCAGTCTATTTTCCTGAACTGCAAAAGTTAACAAGGGCGTATGTCCAGTCCTGCCCAACATGTCAAGCAGTTAATTATATTAATTTCCGCCCGGCCGGGTTTCTAAATAGTATTAAATCCAATTTTCCAAATGAAATAATTGGCATCGATTTATTGGGCCCTTTCCCAAAAAGTCAGTTAAATAAAAGTCGCTATCTCCTTGTTATGGTTGATCATTTTAGTAAGTGGACCGAAATTGTTCCCTTAAAACGAGCCTCCGCGAAATTAGTTACTGATTCTATTTTAAATAAATATATTTTAAAATACGGGGCGCCCCTAAAAGTTATATCGGATAATGGTCCTCAATTTGTAAGTAAATATATTTGAAGACATGTGCCAAAAACTGGGCATACGTCATTTAAAAATGGTCCCGTATCGGCCGCAATCAAATATAGCGGAACGGGTCAATAGAAATATAGTGAAAATTATCCGTAGTTATGTTAAAAATTTTCATAAAAGCTGGGATAACTATGTCAATGAATTTGCTTTCGCCCTTAGGACCGCAAAACATGATACAACGGGCAAAACTCCTGCTGAGTTATTTTTAGGCAGAAAGATTATAACGCCGTTAGATAAATTATTTTATGTTCAACAAAGAGCCCCAGAATTTAAAATGGGTGATATAGAAAAATTAATTAAAGAAGCAAAAAAGAACACTGAAGTAGCACAAAGAAAACAGAAGCTCTATTATGATTTGAAACGACGGGGAGTAACTTATAAAGTAGGAGATGAAGTGTTTAAAAATTAAGCATTCACTTTCTTCAGCACCAGAAGATAAAACCGCCAAATTTTTTCCACGATTTGAAGGACCATATGTCATAGAAAAAATAACTCACGCTGTAGTGGTGTTAAAAGCCAGGAATGGTGAAACATGCTCCGCAAACATTGACCAAATAAAACCATACTATGACCGTAATAAAATGCAAATATTTAAAGATCTTTTGCAGGATCCGGCACGGCAGGCACTGCAGGCACAAGCTCCAGAGGTGGAACAACGACAAGCACAAGGGCAAGCCATTAGGAGGCAGGAGCAATTGAAAAGAAAGTTTCCCCGTTGGAAAAAATTGAAGGTAACAAGAAAAAAGAAGCCGTTCCACCGACCAGAAAAGAGAGCGCACGACCACCCCCAGAATGAAGAAGGGAGAAGTACGACGAATGCAAAGAGAGCCAGGAGAAATAACGGCAACTATAACCCGGCTCCCAAACGGAAGATCTACTCATCGGACAGGACTCTACGCAGCAAATGTCGCCGAATTGCGGAAGGGCCACCAGCGGCGGAGGAAAAGATACAAGGAAAATTTGAACGGCCAGCAACGAGATCCAAGCAGGAACGAGAGAGAAGTTGTCCCGGTTCCGCCAAGACCAACTGCCATCAAACGGCCAAGACCACAGGCAGAGGCGAAAAAGAAGGTATTCAAGGGTGACCGAACTGGAGGGAAAAAAAAAAAAAAAAGAAAGCTCCTAGAGGAAGGACACTGAAGGGCGAGCCCGCACAAGAAGGAGGATAAATCAAACACGAATCTTCGCTACCTTCCAGGACTGGGCAGAGAAAAGAATGTCCGAATATCACAAAGATAAGTAAAACTTTATGTTACTTTGCAAACTTAAGTTAATCTTTCATTCTTACTGCAAGTGGCAGATTTCAAGACGTTTTACCTCATGTGAGGTCTACCTTTATCGCCAAAAAGGCGAGAAATGAGTTGTTACCTATTTTGGTATTATGTTTTTCAATTACTCGCGAGTAAAACTAAAGTTGATGTATAATAGGAATGTGTAAATACTTGAATATTGTAAAAGTTATTGTATAAAATTTTATTTAAAAGATTCTGGCAAGAAAGAAGTTTTAGTCTGAAAGACTTTTGAAATGTAGTATTTCAATGTAGAAGAATTGGCACTTGCTTGGAAAAGAATAGAAGTTAACAATGTACTACTAATGTATGTTTTAAAATGCGTAAAATTAACGGCATGTTAATATGTTCTTATATACAATGTGAACTGTTATTTTAAGCGTTAAGAAATACTGTGATATGTTAAAAGTGAAAGTAATGCCAAAAAATTTTTTAACTTATTCGTGTGACTGTAAAAAGGCCAAATTATTGTGAATATGTGTTAAAGCTTGAATGAATGTAGTTAGGCTCTCTGACGCTACACTTCAGAGTTAGCCACTTTCAGAATAGTACCTCAGGGTTTAGAGATGAAGATAAGGTGTGTTACGAGGTCTTGTTATGTTGAATTTTAACACGTTAGTGTTTTGATTGTAGGCGGCAGTGTTGAACACTGGTACATAAACACATTCGTGTTCGGTGTTTTCTTTTACAACACATGTCAGAGAGCACGGGGAGAGATAATTAAATAAAAGTCATGAATGAAATAAGAATGTTAGGAGAAATATAAATATTCATGTTACTTGCCATTTAATTGTGTAACATTTCATTAAACTAGTTTTCCTTCCAGATCTCTGGAAGGAACCAGATTTCAACTAAAAGCTCCTGTTTATATGCAGTACAGATGAAAAGTAATTGTCCATGGAGCTGATAATGTAAAAACAATTTTTTTTTAAATTTCTAGTTTCTAGTGAGAAATGTTTGTAAAAGATTGGCCTCGCGTTAGATTCTAGAGCTAAAAGTTTTCAACAAGGTCGTTTTAGACCTCAGTTTCAAACTAATTAACTTTGGCGGGAAGTATGTAAGGATCTTAAGTTTTACTAACGTTTATTTTATTTTAAATCTTTACTATCACTTCTTATTTTCTACTTCCGGCCAGAATTAAAAGCTTTAACTTATTTATGCAAATTTGTCTGGCGAACGCCAAGTACTTAAGTTGTGGCTTTTTGCCAAGCAAGAAGAGAGGAAGGAATTAGTCGAAGCAGGCCGCTTGCCTTAGCAGTTTTACTCGGTTGCTGGTTGCCTTCCAGGCCAGAGGTTTTAATCCTCTTGATAATTTTAAACGTATTGTAGTGTTAACAGTTCTCTGTACTACATACGGCTTCCTGTTAATATACGGCCAATCTTCCACGTAGGCCCTTGTTTTATTATTCCAAAGTTAAGTTAGAGTTTAGTTAATATTTTTATATTCTTACGTTCAGACCACAAGTGGTTGGTCTCTGTATTCCGAAGTCCGGAAATTATTGTAAAGAGTAAAAAATAAAGGGTTTCGTATACCCTTCCTGTGTATCTTGTCTACTTCCCACATTTATTGAACATAGCTTTAGTAAGCTCCCTGTTCCGAGTCAGGTCTTTGCATGTTCCCAAAGCAAGTAAGGCGGAACATAGAACCTGATAAGCTTTCTCTAGCTGTTTTGAATTAAGTTCTTTTGAACGTTTGAGTAGTTAGAAGATACCTACTGTGAGATATTGTAATACTGCACGGATATTTTAGGAAATTTAAGCATTTTGTGATAATAATAAATTTTTTTGTTCATTTTTCATAGGACTTGTGCATTCATTTCGTAACGAACCCGTACGCACGCAACAATATTATACAGTGTACTTAATTTTTCAACAGCCTGAATATGGAAGTAAATTCGTTTGATAAATTTTACTGATCTATTTAGATTATCCAAATACTGCCTTTCATTCAATTTTCAGAAGAAAAAATTGCATATTATTCATCAGTTATGATATATAACCGTAACGGTTAGGTGAACTAAATATAATTAGACTAAAAATATACTGGCAAATGCTATTATTTTCATTTTTATAGCAGGTATTACTGCGTGTCATGAATTTGTTTACGAATGACAACTACATATGTAATGAGTATTAGCATATGTGAGATATGGTATAGATATTTACAGATACTGACTGCATTTAGTATTACTTTATATTAAACTTCTAGACTTATATATTTAATGATACATTAATATAGTGTTAAGAATGTAGGCTAAAATCTAGGTTAATATTGTAGATTGAGAAAGGGTGTACCAATATACTAAAATAAAATAGTGTGAGAATGTTGCTCGCTAAAAGTTTTGTTCTTACTTGTTATATTCAAATGTCATTTGAATATTATAATAAATGAGACCGAAGGGCCCAAGAGTAATGATTATTTGGAATATGATTAAACTTCACAAACAACAATACACTTTATGATCAGAATATATACATTTTATTTTTCCTTAATGAACAACAAAATTAAAAATGAGAAATGGACATCTAAGTTTAGATGTGTATAAAAATGATAAATTTAACATAAATATGGAATACTGCAATAATGCTTTAAATTATTGAAGGACAGGAATATTTATATATTCATAGCATAAAATTATATTTAAATAAACAAAATTCAAAAGGTGAATAAATAAAATATGCAATAGACAGAACTTGTAAAAATTAAATTTCACCAACATCATGTTTTAAACTGTATGAGAAACAAAAAATTTGGAAAGCAAAGTATCCAATCCCTAAATTACTAATAACAATAATTATTTCTATGAAATATGTTGTCAATCAACACTTATTGCTACTGAAAATTACAAGCCTATAAAAATTGAAAAGTTTTTTATGCGAATCATATTACGTTAACAACTATTTTTACTTATTCAGATCAGCTGCATTGCTTTTAAGGTGAAATATTTTAACCTCAAATAATGTCCCCGAGATTAAAGTTTTATTTATTTCCTGTTAATTAATGGAAAGATTAATATCTAATAAATATAAAAAAAGTTCAGCATTGCATGCAGTTAAGGAACAATATACTTTTATTCGCCACCTGATAAAGTAGCGTACTTTGAAGGAAGATCGTTTCATGTTTGCTATACAATTTAATACTCTTCCATTAATATTAAATGGTTTCAAACGTAATGTGTCGTTGAAGTCTTCGTGGAAACTAGGAAAGTTATTGTGTTTTATATGATTATTCTGAGGTCAAACCAACATTCTGTCTTACAAATGTTACATAAATCTGCAACACTTTAAGCTGTCTTTTGTCACTCGTCAAGAATATATTCTCATTAAATAGCAATCAAATTTGCGTTGCAGACATTTACGATATCATGTAGAGATAAAGTTCATGGGGACACATGTAACATCGATTTAGTCGAACAGAAAGATCGGTTTCAACTGATGAAAAAATCGTAGATGATGCTACCTATTTGAGTTGTACAATTGATGGAATTCAAATGCCTTTTAAGATACATATTCTAAGATACGAGTTATAAATGCATAGTTATACGCTATTAGTCAGATGAAGGATGATATTTGTTTGAATCAATGTCATTAAACCAATAAGAAACATATCTGCTAGAAGTTTTGGCCTTTCCTGAGGAATGTATAACGTTGAAAATATCACAAATAAGTTAGAGCGAACCAGCACCCTAATTAGCCAACTTCTCTAAATGTTCACTTTGCGTAGCATTTCTTAGCCATGCTGTGTTGTCATACTCCTTTAATTGTCCCCCAAAGTCGACTGGAAGTAAGCTTTCGGGGAAATGTTGTTGCAAAGTGTCGTTGTTCTCGTGGAAAATGATCTGAAATGTAAGAAATACAGGTAAGTTGAAATATAAATAAAATATGACATTTAAAATGAAACATAATTTAAATAATTATAATACATTGATAAAGTTACGCAATATCGCAAATATAAAGTTTTTAAAATGTTCTGGATGTTTCACCCCTTTTAGCAACAACTGCAAACCTATTTTCCTAGCCTTCTGACTTGCTTTGTATCCATGGTAACGGCTGATAGGACATATGTTGGAACTAAATTCTCTAATTCACCTGTAACTTTTCTAAAAATCACCTTTTCCGTTCTATACTGTGATGATTACACACAACCGTGAATAGAGGGAGAGTCAATATGATCTTGACGGTTTTTTTTTTTTTTAGTAACACAATCACTCATAGTTTGCAGGGAAGGCTAGGGTTGGTTAAGTATAGTAAGCAAGTAAATAATTAAAATATGAAGGACATGCATATTTGTAGAATAAATTTATAAATTGTAATACAAAATTTCTAAAATACTTGTTTGATTTTAACAGAGCTAATAAAAGTTTAAATCATACTTCTTCAAGGAATTTTCTAACAGAACAAATATGATAATTATATAAGTTTGAATAGCGAGTTAACTCCTCCCTGGAAATGCTCATTATTTTTAGGAATAAATTCCATATTTTAAGAGTTTTTGAATTTTTAATGCTTCTTTCAGTTTTGCTTTTCCTCGGAACAGAGATAAGTTTTGCTTTCCCTCGGAACAGGGACTGCAAAAAAAAACAATTGAATAACACATTGTCTTTTCTCTTATTTATTAAAAATCAATGAATAGCTGTTTTGATACACAGGAAATTCCACATGAGCAAAAAATTGCTAATACTACCAAACTAAACCTCATATGCAGCAGGACTTAAATATTGCTCTCACAAGAAAATCATTGGTCTTCACAGATTTAAATTCATACACCTCAATAAACTCTCTTTGTGTAATACTTTATGTGGTAGGAAGTATAATCTAAGCTTATAGAAGTGTAAAATTAGATTTTTCAATAATCTTATTTCTTTCTTGTAATGTGTATATGTTAAATAATACTTCCAAGATCTAACAAGTCTTTTTACAGCTGAAAATTAAAACTATTTACTCCTTTCAGAGAACGTTCACAGGATGCTTGCATCCACTGCAATTGCCCATGTAGATTTACCGAAGTGATAGTTTGATTTGACATGTCTTACATGTTCAACCTGTATGAAGAAACGAAGGAGGTAAGAAAGGCTAAATTTATCTATGCTATGCAAAAACTATAAATATCAGATTTTGTTTTTCATTTCTACCATACAAAACTTCCTGTATAGCAGTTATTTGTAAATAAGCTGAAGAAAATTAACTGTGTTTGACAACAGCCTACACTAATGTGAATGATTGCGCTAATGAGTGATTGTGTAAAAAATAGCTGTTTGTGCGAAAGATCACAATATTTTATTTAATATTTCTCAAAAATGACTTATTCAATTGTCCTGGTCCAATCTATCTTTATAGCTTGTATAACAATTAATTGAATCATTATTACATAAAGAAAGTTTTCTACAGAAAAAGAGGAATATGTTCTTCATTAAGAAAAAGTAAATTTTTGTAAGAAAATGATTTTGTTGAACTTTTAATGATAATTTGATTGCACTCAAGTAAATATATCGTTTTCTTTCACTCTAAACTATAAAAGCACAGGTAAGGAAACTGAAACTCGAAACTACACATTATACTTGCTGCAACAGAACAAAATGTCCCGAAAGACTTCACTAGGATTTGTTAACAGTTAGAGGTATACGTTGAATCCTTGATGAATCAATGACCCTTATCTTTGGAAGTACCTTTAAGATATAATACCTTTTAAAAATATGTTGACTTAATTTAACCCTTATTTCAAGGTATTAAACCGTGATAATTAAATATGATTTTAAATTAAATCAGATAAATATTGATACTCAAAAGTGAAATACTTTTTTGTTAAAATCTAAAAATAATAAAGCTTAAAACTTTTCTACAAATCGTGTATAAAAGATTTTGAAAAATGTAATTTAATTAATAGAAATATTAATTCACATTAATTATCTTTAAATTCAAAAACACATATGTCTCAAAAACTAAAACAATGAGTACATTTAATTTAGCATGCAAGTAATTAAAATAGCAGATCTGAAATTATTAAAATTTACAGATTAGATTATTCAGCATTATTTCCGTCACCTACACCCTAATAGGTTTAAGCTCTGTATTTTCGAATTTGATTACAAATAAAATCAAAGCTTCCAAGAATCAAGAACCAAGAATCAGTTCCTATTGTAACGATTTTCTCATTAAAATTTCGAAATTTTGGAAATTGACTCGATATAAAATAAAGATCTAATACTCATTATTAAGTATTAATATTTATTATTCTTTTATCTGTTCTTAGTTATTAAAAATACAATCAATCACAATGCATATTTTTTAGAAATAGATAGCTTTTTTTCTAAAAACATTGTGAAATGGCGCTTTTTTATTATTTGTTTATGAAGACTGTATCGGATATTTAGCTGAATAAAGTTCAAAAACTAGCCTTCACTTTTTTTTAAACAACCTTGACATCATAATCACACTTGAAAGATAGTTCACATTTCATACGTAGATAAACAAGCAGATACAGTAACGAATAGACGATAACAAGAAAATTTATGAGGCAGAAGATCTTGTAATGGTGCACCAGTTTTGATTCTAATATACTGCCATAAGAAGATAACGAAAGTGTTTTGTAATGTTAAGATATAACATATTGTAGTATATGTTAAACATATAAAATTATGTCTAATGCCATTTTATAATAAAAAAATCCTTAAAATTAAAAATAAATGCAAATATATTCCTTTGTTGGTCAAAGTTATGATTTAACTTATATTTAACAGATTTATGCTAAAAGTATTGGATAATGATTACTTTAGACAATGACAATAATGAAAATATTTCAGTGCTAAATGTTAAAAGTAGAGTCTTTACATCTAACATTAAAATCTTATTTTAGTTACTATATCAGCACATTAAAATTTTAGACATCCTTTAGAAAATAATGATTCTCTTCCGTCCTGAGGGTAAAACTTATAGTGTCTTTAACGTGCTACCGTAAACAGAGAGACTCAGATTTGATATTTTATTTGATAATCTTTTCGATGTCCTCACTTTCACAAGATTCGATTTCATTTATTAACAAAATTAAAATGAAGGCATTTCATATTACACTGTTCATAAAAATGTTCTTAATAGTTATTTTTTTCAGCATAACGTAATTCAGTCAGTAATTTTGAATTAAGTAGTTTTTAACAAACGAATTTACTTTATAAAAGTCTATATAATTAAATTTCCACAAAAGAATTTTTTTCACTATTTTCAATACTAGTGAGTGTTAGACGAATTAGAAAGAAGATTTTGCTATGTTTATTTCCATTCGAATATGAATACAGCTAAGACTGTCGAACGCAAACACCCATAAATTGCGATTGTACTATTCCTAATTGTATTATTCAAATTATATTCAATAAGACATACATAATTATAAACTTAAAGGTGTATGTAAAAATAAAAATAACTCAAGGTTTTAAAATAAAATAAACACATCTATAAATATTTTAGCTCTCGATTTGAGAAATGGTTTACAACCTCCAGAACGTGAACAAAAGTTTGAAACAAGAAAGTATATTATAAGCATATGTTAGATTAAAAATTTTCAATTACATGATTTCATGCATTTTAGACGTCAAAAAATATTTTAAATTTTAAGGCTATAAAATTTTGATACCTTTAATTTTATATCTCTAATAACATTAAAGACAGAAGCTTTAATAAATTCACAAGTGAACACCTTTTGATATTCAAAACTTTTAAATTTAATCAGAGTCCAGCAGAGCTATCTGTTTGACACTAAGACTGGACTTTCTAAGAGAAATTTGCTAAGATTCATGTTATAACCATTAAATGGCAGCGAAAATCCATGTGATTGGTGCCAGAAACTGAAACCAAGATGATTTATCAGAATTCTGCAGTGGCAGAACTTATTTTTATCCACATATGCTATTTAATTGCAGTTTGAAAACATTAAATAGTTAACTGCATTTTGAACATATTCATAAGCATATTCAGTAAGGCGTTGCCTGAGAGTAAGAATGAACTTTGAAATAATTAAATAAAAATTAGGATTATATTTCATACGTTATTTTTAGAAAGTTAAGATTATGTCTTGAGAGATTGTACTGTATATTTATGGAAGATTAAAACATTTGATTTACATTTTGGACTACTTATTTGGAGAAAGATTGTTATTAAATAAATTGTGTACAATGTATTGTTAAAAGATGGAAGTTATTAGGATTAAATTTCAAAAGTCTACCTAGGACTTTCTAAGTTTATTTATTATTATATTAATGAATATTTTATGCTTAATTAAAGTTCAGCTCCAACTCGAATTATTGAAAAATCTCAGACAATACTGGTGAAATAACTGCCTTAAATGTAGAAAGAAATAATTCATTACAACTATTACTTAAAAAATATTTTTGTTAATTTGATTTTAATTAAATAGTTGAATAATAATAAAAATTAAATAATATTTTTCCTTAATAGCCTTCATCATATTTCCCAAAAAATAAAATGGTGAAGCTGTTGGCAATGGCATATTTTAAACAAAATTGTCAATAAAAAATTTGAGCAAATTGAATGTAACTACTTTTAATTATGTCATTTACTACCAAATCTATTATATGAAATTTTTGTTAATGTATTAACATAGTTCATATACAGGAGCTCCATGATTTTGTGTTTCGTAGCATACGATACAATATTACAATAGCTAACGTTTTTAATTTTTAGTGCATTTAACTGAAATCATGCAATTTAACAGGGATTTGGATCACCTTATGTATCATACTCTTGCAGAGTGATACAAATTGCAAAAAAGCAAAATCATTGTAAAAATTGCAAGAATCGTTGATTCTAAATGTAGGTAAATTATTTTTTA